AGAAGCAGTGTGTATTTTCATCTATAGACCCTTAACCCACCACCACCTTGTCCATACATTTTCTCGAGCTGGCAGGGGGCCAACATTTGGTCAAAGTTGTGATACATAACTCTGGTCACACCTTCTGGGCCACAAACTGATGTGATTGGTTGATAAAGACCTGTTACCAAACACATTACTACAGGGGCAAAGTCTTGCTTTTATAAATGTTTATAATTATGAAACTTAAGAAGCAGAGAATCATTAATCTTAAGTCACGTGATCATATTTCTTTTCACTGATTCACAGATTCATTTTGTCCATTATTTGAAAACAAAGAGCACAGGGAGGAAGTCTGCGAACTCCGGTGATGTAAGTTCAAACATGTACACGTGCTGATGGATCATAAAAGCCTCGCAGTTACACAAGCGGCTCCTTTTAATGCAATAAAAGCCACTCCTCAGCAGCAGTCTTTGTGTCACTTTCATCCAGAACGCACAGTAAACGGTAGGTCATAAGCTTCTTTATTTATGCTTATATTGATGCCAACTTATCTTAATAACAAATTATCAACATATATGTTTAAATCTGCTGAACAAACTTGTTACTGTTGGTTTTTTACTCTATAATGTGTTTTTTTATTTAATTATTTTCCTTGGGTTTTTTAGATTGACCACAATGACAAAACACAACATTAGTCTTTTGGTTGCCATAGTGCTGGGACTGATCTTTTTCATCATCACTATGGCTTTGACTGCTCTGGCAGCGCCGGGAATATGTACGTTTAAATGCTTCATTTATATTTTATTACTTTACTATAATTTGTAATATAAGATTCAGTTATCATTTGATTTTTCAAGTGTGTAAAAATAACTTTTTACAATAATTGTGGATGTGCACTGTATCCGTTCAGCGCTATGATTTTGTGTCCCCCAGATCCATTTTTGGCGTCCACTGGTAATATTTCAGATGAGTTTGTAACCGAGATCACACCATCAGGATGGACCTTCACCATTTGGTCGTTCATTTACATCTTTCTGGCTTTAGTGTTGGTCTACGTCCTCTCCGGCATCTTTAGGAAGTATGTACATTGTTCCTATGCATCAATGAAGGTTATCTGTCTCCTACGTTGTATCTGATATGCTGAAGTATATACCTCTCTGCTATTTGTTTCTTTAGGAATGCCTATGGTTACGTCTACTGCAGCCCTGCTATTTTGCCACATGGATTTTTTGTGACTTGGTGCATTAATCTGGCTCTCAACACGGCATGGTTGTTCCTGTGGGACAGAAAGTACGATGGGAGTTTTTCTTCATGTGAATCATACTTTTCAATAGAAATGATTTCATAGTATTGAGAAACCATCTTCAGTTAATTCTTCCAGGAAAACAACTGGCTTTAAGTGTATATGTAGCACATTTTTAAAGATGAATAAAATCATTGAGGCATTATTTTATAGAGGACTAGTTGAGTAACAAAGTGAAGGAATATTGAAAGGAAACTGTATATTTCAGACATACAGGGACTTCAAATGTCTTTCTGTGTCTTATGTGTGTTATTTCTGCCTATTCTGTATACACAGTACCTATCTATCTAGCAGAAGAGAGCTCCTTTAAAGGTTTCTCTGAAGATGTTTTTCATTATTCCAACCAAGGCTTTACAGATAGACAGTGTCATATGATGTTAACATTGTAAAGCCCTGAGGAAAATATATGTCTATTATTCTAATGTTTTTCATCCCTATCAAAGGTTGATGGCTGCAGCACTGGTTTTCCTCATCCTCATTGCCTCGACAAACTACCTCATGATATTCTTCTCCTGCCATTGTCTCAACAACTATGGAGCCTGGCTCAACAAATACCACAAAGTAGATCTGTGGCTCCACCGTGTGTTGGTTAGTTAATGTTTTACATATATTTTGGCAAAATTTATTCTCATATGTTTTTCTCCTGCGAGATATTCTGCATATGTTTCTGCATTTAAGTCCTGTCTCTTGTCTCTGCAACAGGTTCAGAATGGTATTGCCATATATGCAACATGGACGACCATTGCATCCCTAGTTAACCTGACCATTGTGCTGACCCATGATGCAAACATGTCTCAGACGGACGCTGCCACGGTCTCACTCTCTATTTTGACTGTAGTGTTGTTTGGGTGGTAAGTGCGAAGTAAAGGAAAGAAAAATCTGCAGTATCTTTAATAAGTTCATAAAAAACATATTTCTTGAGCAAACATGTTGGATCTCTCGCAGGTTTATCCTGGAAAACGTTGTCCTCGACAAACATGTGAGGTACATTCTCACCATTTACCCCTTTGTGATCTGGGCACTGACGGGGGTATTCACCAAAAACTATAACGCTGCAGCCCCCACGCGCAATAACATCTTCATTGGTGAGGAAGTTCAATCATTTTAAATATCTTAGTCTCTATTACATCACCTGAAACAGGATACATTATATATATCATCAATTATATATGCAATAGAGGACTGATAGTATGCACACTAATGCTTCCCCCTGATATTTTCTTTCCACTGTAGCTGCGCAGTTGGCTATAGCCTGTACCTTGTTTGTCGCACGGGTATTTTTGGTCGTCTGGAAGAACATCAAAAAGCCACTTTATAAAGATGCCAGCCCAGAGGACATGTCTCCGATGGAGATCGCTGAGAAGCAGAAAAAGATATTTAAGTGATGATGCTGAATGTATATTTTTATAATAAACCTTTCTTTACTAATTCAGTATTGCTTCCATATGACATGTATTTCTTAATGCTTTGTATATATTGTTTTTAGGTACTTAATACTTGGAGACACTATAGAAGTGACATGAACTGATATGATGCTGAAATCCAATTTAAGTTGACTTGTTAGCTGTCAATACATTGTGTACTCATAGTGAAAAAACCTGCACTATTCATTATTAATTTAATATTTCAGTTCTTTATTTTGACTTTTATTTTGTATACTGTTAAAAATATTGTTTATGCATTTGTGGTATATGTGAGATAGAACAAACATTCACTGTGTAAATGTATGTATTATGAAGGCTTTTTCTGTAATTGTTTTTTATGCTGTGTGTGGATTGTGTAGCTCTTTATATATATAGTTTATTGCTATATGGCTTTATCATTTAGTCATATTTACTTTTCAGATAGTCATTGTTGTTTGATTTTGGGCGGTTCATTCAAGAACGGGTCCTATTATGCAGTTATATTCTGTTTGCTGATTGATGTTTGAACCTTCCCTGTTTATAAATGGACATTTCTGCTGTTTCGATTGCACTAATGGTTACGACTGCCAGCTTGTTTTTTGCGATAAACATGAAGACTATTTATCTTTGAGTAGGCCTATTTTGTTTGTTTTGATCATTATTACGTCCCGATACAATGTTTAAGATGTGAAACTGTGTATGAACTGTGTAATGAAATGAATCAGAACATACAAGCACTATCAGTGTAAGTAGCCTATAGCAAATGCTTTGCAGTAGAAATACAGCAACAGTGAAACAACATAAATAGAAATAAATTAAAAATACAAGTCTTGAGCTGCTTATTAAAGGTGTTTGAGTACTCGACAGGTAAAATCATACAATGTGATGTGTAAAGGGTCTAATCATATCAGATCAAATCACTGCCAGTCGTTCTCATAAATATTTAGATATTGACATGTTTGATATTTGTGATTGACAGTGGGGACCAATGATGTCACTTTTGTTTCACCAGAGGGAGACGTAGCCGGTAAATAAACAAACAACTGAAACGGAGGAAAAACTGAATGAACTGTGGCAAGATAATGAATGCTTCTGCTTTACAAAATTTAATCAAAAGCCACAAAACTTTTTTGGCCTTGTCACTGCATATAAACAGCTGAAGCCATGTTTGTATTTTAGACTTTCATATGTTCCAATATGACGAATATGTTTATTAAATTTGTACAATTTAAATTTAAAAACAAGCACAAAAGGTATGTAATTCATTTAGGAGTCACCTATATGAATGTGTTTTATAAATATCATATGAGGGCAAATGTGGACCGTATGATTCCCTCCACTGTGGCAGAAGATAAGAGGGGCACGTGATGCTCTGAGTGGTCGTAAACCTCCCTCTTACACAACTGGTTATTCTATAAAATAGTCAGTCCCCTGTCCTCTGCACAGTTACTCTGGTCCCTCACACTACGAAAGGTAAGTATGTTTGTCTTCATCATGTGGGCTCTCTTTTTGTTTTACTGCCAACGTTTTATTATCCTGACTTTATAATGTGGGCACTCGTTTTGGTTTTCCTGCCAACGTTTTATTATCCTGGAGGAATCTCAGCATGCACTAGTGGCACGTGGACCTCTCTGAGGTTACACAAGTTGTTATTAAACTTGATATGAGTTTTCGGTTTATTTCAGTTTATGAAATTTGAATTATGAAAATAATTTACTTACAATGACAGACTTTTTAAAAGGTTTTTATAGAGACAAAAAAGGTTACAAAAAAACTGGTGATTTATGACAATGATGTAAAAACTTTGTGAATCTTTGTCTGAATGGCCTCTGAACGTGCTACATAAGGTGACTTATCACTTATTATCACCTGCAGCTCAGGGAGGTCAGAGGTCAGGTTCAAATGCAGGTCAACACCAATGAAAGCACATTTCTTTGAGAAAAAGTTTATTTTTCATTAATATAAAACACTACAATGTGCCAAATGTACCAAAGTATTGCATATATCTAATGTAATTATGTTCTATAAGTTATCTTCTGCAGCATGTTAATAAATGTTTTATGTAACTTAACTTTTCTATTCTTTAAAAATTTTCTTTTATCACAGCAGACCACGATGGTAAAACATAATCCTGGACGTCTTGCTGCGATAGTGGTGTCTGTTGTTGGCTTTGCAATAAGTTTGGTGTTCAATGGGTTGTCTGTAGTTGGACTTGGTAAGTCAAAGCTTTGTTCATCTATTTTTTGTATTTAACTTGTATCCTTCCTGCATCCTTTTGTATTTAAGGATGTTAAGTAATATTGTGAATGGGCACTGAAAGATTGCTGAGAGATAACAAATATTAGTTTACCTGTTACATTCCTCTCCGTTCTCACTCAATATTTGCATTTCTTTCTCCCTAGGTCCCTATGCCACCACCACAGCCAATGTGTCTGCTGTGTTCGACACCCAGATCACACCTTCAGGATGGACGTTTAACATCTGGAGTGTCATCTACATCTGGCTGACAGCGATGATTATCTACATCCTCATGGGACTTTGCAGAAAGTTGGGGGCAACTTTTTGTATTTTTTTGTTTAAAACCTTAAAATATTTCAAACTTTTTTTCCAAAAGGTCACACCTGAGTCAAATAGGAAGTGCAAATAGCAGTAGGTAATCCCTTTTTGGGATACCAGATGTGAGACAAATGAGCCACAAAAAAAGAATAGTTGGCAAAATTGGCATTTACTGTTCAGTGGACGTCTATGTTTTCACCAACTCACAGACTCCTTTCTCCTCGTAGAAATGGTTATGGCTACATTTACTGCAGCCCTGCAGTGCTGCCGTATGGATTCTTCATTAGCTGGTGCCTCAATCTGTGTTTCAATATCGGTTGGCTGCTTGTTTGGGACAGAGGGTAAGAGTCTCCATTGGAAACTTTTAAATGACTCCTGTGATTATTCTTTTTTAAATTAAGCTCCCTGTAGTACATAACATCGGTTTATGTCTCACACTTCATGTTTTACTGCAACCTAATTCTAACTGTCATAGTAACTATCACAAACAACAACATAAAACGTGTGTTTTTCTGTTGTTCTTGTGCCTCCCTAAAGACAAATGATTGCTGCACTGGTGTTTCTCTTCCTGGTCATCTGCACAAACTACTCCATGATATGCTTCACCTGCCACGGACTTCATATTTATGGAGCCTGGCTCAAGAAATACCACAAAGCAGATTTGTGGCTCCTCCGTGTGTTTGTTAGTATGAAAAAAATACAGTATTTGCATCATTTAGTGTATATGTTAAGGTTTTATTCTTGCATCTCAAAGGTTTTAAGAGTCTATTTTCTTCACATGTAGTTAATATAATGTGGTTTAAGTGTAAACAGTATAATATTTGCAGGTTCAGAATGGTGTGATGATATACACCACATGGACAACCATTGCAACACTAATCAACCTGACCATTGTTCTGAGTTATGATGCAAAGATGTCCCCAACGGATGCTGCCACCATCTCATACTCTATTTTGGCTGTTGTGCTTCTTGTGTGGTGAGTGGTCTTCACTTATAAAATACTTATTAGAGAAATAAAGTGCAAAATCATCAGTGAGATTCTGAAGCAATGTGTTTGTTCCACGTGTTTCACAGGTTTGTTCTGGAGAACTTTGTACTTGACAAACATGTGCGATACATCCTTATCATCTACCCTGTTGTGATCTGGGCATTGTCTGGAAACCTCGACAAAAACTACGATGCTCAATCACCCAGCAGAAATGGCATCTTCATTGGTAAGACTCTGAAAAGAACTCTGTATTAATAATATGATGATAATCTCTACAATTAGCTTGTAGACATCACATCAACTAAATGTCTTTAGACTGATTTCCTGAAACATGACAGGTATTAAGAGTAAATAAACACAACATAATGAAAAATAATTAAGTACTTGAAACTACAAAGTACTACTTATTCTGACGCTTTAGTAAATTATATCCACAGTGAAGCAAATTTACTTAGAGCACACCTGACACACAGGTCCAACTTAAATGAAATGTTACCTTCAAAGTATGAGGAAATTTTATAATGCTAACTAAAATGCATCTGGGGACATCTGGACAGCATAAATGACCACTTTGTGACCACAAATGTCTCTTTAAAAGTTGTACTAACTAGATTTTCTTCCCTTAGTTGTGCTGCTGGCTTTAGCCTCTGTGCTGTTTGCCATTCGGATTGTTTTGGTGGTTTGGAGACACATCAAACAGCCACTGTACGCAGACGTCAGTCCTGAAGCCATGGAACCGGTGGAGATTGCTGATAAGCAGAAAAAGATATTTCGCTAAACATTTTTATGACATAGCCTATATATCATATATCATAAAATATAGTATTATTATTAGTATATGGTATTACTTTGTTGATAAGCAAATGGACAAATGTTTTATTATGTAAATTTTGATAAGATTTAATTTAATTCTGTTTACATTCAGTATGATTTAAAATTCCCTCATAATACGGCTATTTATTTGCAATTTGCATAGTTAAATAATGTAATAAGCAACATTATTTTCAACTCTGGCTAACTGATCTCTGAACCTTTTATGGCTCTTTTCTAATATACTGACTGCAAACACAACTCATTGGGCTGATAAGTGACTATTACAACACTACAGAGGGGCACAAAACTGTAATCATCACACCACTTTATAGCATAGATTGTATGCTTTAAACATTTCCCCGAGTTTACAGTGTGTTTGTTTATATAAAATACAAATTTATATTTCAATGCTAATTGCTTTTCTTGACATATTTATTTGGAATAAAGTATTCATGCAACGTGTGTTTTAACAGTTCAGCGTGGGCTCTTTTTTCATAATGTAGCAGATTATCACAAATTAAGCAGCCTAGACATGTGTTGCTACTCCAAAAGTCTAAACATCGTGGATATCACCAAATACTATTAGAATTCACAGCTGTTTTTCTATTGTCTTTTGGGTAAAGGTGTTTAAAAAAAAGTTACACAGTCACAGGAATTGGGTGAAAAAGCTAGAAGTTTAAGATTTTTTTGAGGGAAAAGATTATTTGAATTATCTTATTATACATTTTCAGACAAATGTTTATTGTCTGCAGCTCATCCTGTTGGTTAGGTTTCATAATTAACCTGTAGGGGGCACCAACGAACCGCCACAGTACACCAAAGCCTGCCGGAAAATAAAATGTAGAAGAAGAGCATTGTGTGGTTACGGTTTTTCTCCCTGAGTTTAATCTTTCAGGCAGCAAGTGGAAGCCTTTTCCCACTAACAACAAGCTCCTCCAACAGTTCAAGTGGTCAGATTTCTGTAAAACGTTTATCATACTCAAGTGTACGATATAGTTTTAAGATATATAGACTGCAGGTTAGTAGCGACAGTTAACGCCTGAGAGGACAAACTCAGGGCCGGAAGTCGCCTCACGTCAGAGTGCGCGGGTTATTCACAAATTGTAAACAGCGCCGTTGTTTTGCTAACGCTAACTTTGGTTGTGTAATGATCGAAACAGCTGTTTCACCAACCTTTCGCACGGTTTTTATAAGTACTTTACTCGATTCTTAGAGCTCGGGTGCAGATAAATGCCTTCCCGGGGGTTAACGGCGTAAGAGCGGTGATTTCAAACACAAATAATGTCTAACTGTTAGCTCGGCTCTCTGTCGTAAACGGCCTTTGGCGTTAAAACAACGATTCAGAAATTACTACCAAACATAAATGGAGACCAAGTACCCGACACTGGTAAGTTAAAGCTTCTTATTGTGCTCCTGAGAGAGAGAGAGAGAGAGATGTTAGCTGGTTGTCTTCCCCCCAAAATAATCTACAAACTAACTTTGTGTAATTGTGTTTGCAGAGGAGACCGAAGAGGAAACTCTGCTATCTCACAGACAAGGAAAGGTAGCTTTTTAAAGTGTTTTTAAACTATTTTAAAGGGGATGCCTTGTAATTTTATACATTTTAAATATACGACTTTAATATTTTCAGTGTTTCTGTATTCTGTGAGTGAATTTTAGTAACTTACAGCCAGAAACTAGAGATCTGAAATGTGGGATATCTGCAGTCGTTGCATGTTATTAACTGGGATTTGTAGTTTCCAGAAATGTTTTATCTTATTTTTATGTCTATATGAATGTAAATGAATTGTTCTTAATACGTTTAATGGGCGTAATCCCAGTCAGTCACCATTTGTCACACATTTATTGATTGTATATATTGTTTGTACGCTGTATGTCTTCCTCTAACATTAGCTTTTAGGGAGTTATTAAACGTAAAATGTAGACTAAATGGTATTATAATGTTGAAATGTTGGTCTTTCAGTTAACCTGACATTTGTGTTTTCAGTCCATCCAAACAATGGGAAGGTACACTGACACTGGGAGACGTGGATAAGATGTTCGATGACTTGGGTGAGTTTTGTGACTGTGTTTTGCTGCAGTTTGTTTTGCGTTTGCTTTATGTTGACGTATATTTACCTGTTCTTTTTTTTTCAGATCCATCCTCACATGATGACGGCGACATACCTTCCCCATCTCCTCTGCTTCAGACCTTTGATATTGAGACAAACCGCAGTGAGAGAGAGTCTCGTCCAGTCCCACAGGAAACACATCTAACAGAAAAACCAAGATGCCAAGTGGTAATGAAACAGTCAGTTGTTACAGTGACTTCTACGGATAATAATAAGGTAAAGTATGTGATGGTGGATTTAACAGATTGTTTCCCAACATTTTCACAAAGGTGCAGCATGTAATGTTTACAAGAATCTACTGGCACAAATGAAATATAACATCCACAGGCATGTTTTCATTAGTTAATCACCTGAAAATAAGCGTCCTTGGGTTTTTTAAGTAGTGTAGAATGGAAAAACAAGAATACTGGCTCTAGAGAGGGCCTTTCACATTTTTCTCATTATGTGCTCTTGTATATTCGTTCATGGGTTTTGGCTACTTTCTTGGATTAGACAAGATTTTATGCCTTTTAGATGTGTTGAGGATTTTATCGATTAATTCGAATTCGTAGTTAAACACGATTTATTTTTAGTTAAAATCGGTTTTCTCTTGAACTTCCACAACCCTTTGGCTCCGTAGGTCAGAGTGCGCTGACCCCTGCCGCCTTCTCCACAATACACACCAACAATGGACAGGCAAGCCAGGATGATTTTGTTTAAAGCTGTTGCAACCAAGGTAGCAGTAACGACCAAAAATTTTATTCCAGCACCTCAAGCAGAGGCATGCAGACCGGAGTGGGGAGAAATGTTGCTGTCCCCACAAACACCCGCTAAAAAAACAGTCTACAAAAAAATCGATTAAAATCGTAAATCGGGTTTGGTGTGAAAAAATCTGAGATTTTATTTTTAAGCCATATCGTCCAGCCCTAGTTGAGACTTTAAATGTATGTTTTGTAACTCTTCAGGGTCCCGAAGGAGATGTCCCTGATACTGCAACGAGGTCATCCAGTCCTAAGCTAGAAATTGGTATGAGACCCAAACCTCTTTTTTTATTGAGGAGATAAAATACTTGACCTTTCTAAATTCACACAATGTTATGTCAAGTGTCTTTTACAGTTTTTTGTGTTGTGTAGAAACTTTTTTATTATTTCCTTGTTGCAGATTTGGATGTCCCATTCAAAGCCCATGGGCCGGTGAAGACGTCCAGCCCTATTGAAGAGGATATTGTTGTGGAAGGTGTAGAAGAGCTGGACAATGAAAAAGGCAGCATTGTGTCCCCGATTCTCTTTCCCTGTGACGATGAAGGAAAAGAAGAGGCAAAGACAGAGCCTTCACCTACCCAGACACCCCAATGCAATGGGCTCGCCGCAGAGAAGTAAATACTTATAAATGACTTTAATGTCCTGAATACAATGTTTGAAAGACATTTTTAAAATAATGATTTGGCTGTCAGGAGTTTTGTTTGTTGTCAATACTGATGGTCAACACTGATGGTCAACACTCAGTAGCCAGTATATTTCTGCTTGTAAATCTACACCTTTCCTCTTGAAGTGATGTCTCTGAGTTTGAATCTCCTCCAAGCAAGATTGCTTTAAGTGCACCCAAGATGTCCATTCAAAAAAACAAGGGGGAAGGATCATGGTAAGAGTCTTTTAATTCTCAATGAACAAAACCAAAACACTCCACCAGTATCTGATAGATTGTAATACAAAAGGATGCATTACAGTATGCAGGGTCCATTTTGATGTTTGATCTTTATTTGTCTGGTACCTGTGTTCATTACTTTGAAAAGTAATGTCTTTTTTTACATGTTGTACTTACGTGTGTGTGTGTGTGTGTGTGTGTGTGTGTGTGTATGTGTATGTGTATATATTTACTTTTTTTGCAGCAACAATAATCACCCAGTCAAAGAAAACGCACCCACAAAACCTCGAACACCTGTTTTGGATGGGAAAAGAAAAGCACCAAGGTAAGAAGTAATGACTTTTTATGTATAGTTATAGTTAGTTTTGTGCTTTCACTTTAGATCTGGTGACCTAACAATACTGGATATTTGAAGCCAATTTAAATATCAGCATTTGAAAAGATTGACTATTTGCGTACAACGTACTGGCCAATATTCAAGTTTGTATAGTATATAGTATGGGGTGGCAGTAGCTGAGTCTCAGACTTTGCTTCAGAACTGTAGGGCAGCTGGTTCAGGTCCAGCACGCACCAGTCAGTACAGAGTGAAGACTGGTTGCTGGAGAGCCTAACAATGCTAATGTTTTGCCTGTTTTTCCTTTTTTTTTTCTTTTTGTTTATTCACAGTCAAGAAAACACAGACCCATCCGTGTCAGCAGTGAGACAGGAGCCTGAAGCTGCAGCTCTGAAGAAAAAGCCTGAAAGTGTCCACAGGCAACCATCGTTGGAGGTGTCCACCCGAGTGGGAAAAGACATGACGACTTTTCTACAGAAGCTGAGAGATGCTGGAAAGCCTAATCCTGCACGGTGAGCTAAGATTAATGCACCTTAATAATTTAATGCAATGGAAATAATCAAAGTTTGTACAAAAGGAAAAGGATCTGGTCCTTGAATAATCCATTTAATACTTGTGTTATGTTCCAGGAAGTCTCTGTCACCGGTAAAAGTACCCACTCCTCCTGAGCCAGAGGATGATTTCCTGATTCTTGAGGATGATGCGCCTCTTTGGTTTTCCATACCAAGTAAAACAGCCAGCACTAAGAGACGGAGCATAGCTTCCAGCACCGACAAAGACAGCTCAACAGACAAGGGGTCAAAGGATAACGTGCTAGAAACAGCACAACAACAGGAGTCTGAACAGGAAAACGACAAACCGAGAAGTCAGACTGTAAATCAGAAAACGAAGAGGAGGAAAGGGAAAGAAAAGAAGAATGAAGTGACTGAGCCTGGAAATGATTTGCATGAATTGTCCAGTCCTGAGGATCTTCCTGCAGGTGACTTAATGGAAGAGAAACCAGACAAAAAGAAACGACGACTCAAGAAGGCACCGTCTAAAGAAAGTGACATGGAAGAGGAGCAACCTAAAGACACAGCCAGCAGCCAAACAGACGAAGAAAGACCCACTCTGAAAATGGAAAAGAAAGCTCAGAAGTCCTCTGAAATGAAGAGATCAAAGTCCTCAAAAGATGGGAATAAAAAAGACAAGACTAGCAGGGCTACGTCATCAAAGGAAGCCAGAGAACTGACAGATGCTGAAGACCTCGTCTCTCTTTCAGGTAAAATCATCCATTAAACTCTCCTTCCTATGTGCTGACATTGAAAGGGTTAATCAATTTAAATGTTTCTCAGTGTATATGCTGCACAACAGGACAACAGTAAAGCTGGGAACTAAAATATATCTGACTTTGAGCTCCACTGACTTTCAGGTTGGGAATGAGTCTCAATATTTGGTTTCAAAATTGTAACTTTTAAGAGCTTTTATTTTTCATTGTAGAAATCTTACCGTAATTTCTGTTGGATGAGATATCACCAGTTTATTTATTTCTATTCTTCAAAATGTTGTTTCTAGAGTTCCTGGGGTCAACACCAAACAACAATAAAAACACATATAAAATAAGTTACGTAATTAACATAGGAATTGGTAAACAATAGAACAAATGATCAAATAATAAATATGAAGGTATTTTTTAAGAGATGTGTGAAATGTATTCAAATATATTTAAAAATCATCAGTTATTTCAAACATCTATGCAGCATTACATATTTTTAATTTTGTTCCCACAGACAAAGAAATTGTGAATTCTGAAGCACAAACCGATGAAAAGGAACAGAGTAAACTACCGATTGTGTCTGAAGAGAGTTCATCAGACAACAGTCAGATTCTTGGGAAAAGAAAAAGGAGACCGACTGGAAATTGGTGGTTGAGCTGCCGGCAGAGCGCAGAGGAAACAAAGGTTACAGACAACCTGCCTACTGTGAAGAAGTCGAAGCAGAACAACAAAGAGCCCAGCGCAGCAGCAGCAGCACCACCTGTAAAAACTAAGAAGGACAGAGTTTTAAAACAAAAAAATCAGACACCGCCTGCATCGTCATCCAGTCAGAACACAAACAAGGGTAAAGAAAAGAAAACCAGGCGGAACAGAAACAGAAATACAAGAGGAGACAAACCAGACAAGATGAAAGCGTCAGAAGAAGCATTTGATGTGCTTGAGACAGAGCAGATTGATGAGCAGCAGCCGGAGGTCCCGGACCAGGACCTGGATCCTGTACAGTCTAGCCCTTTGGTCCACAAAGACCACAGCCTGAACTCAGGTAAAGGTGAGGTACAATTAATAACTGTATATGAGTTTTGTAAACATAAACACAAACCAATAAGCTGTGTAATTAACTATGATGTGATGTTTTACAGGGGATCAGGTATTTCAAAGAGTATACCATCACGTCTCTAATAAAAAAATGCCCATCACACCACCGCCGGCCTCTCCCAGGAGACCTAGGGAGCAGCTCAGTGCAGCAGAACGGGGGAAACGGAGGAGGAAACCTCCCAGTAACTGGTGGACGGTTAATGGCCTGTCTGAGGATGTGGAGAGCATCTCCTCACAGCCTCAGCAGCTGGAGCCCAAACCTCGGAAGGACAGAAAAAAGCAATCTAAACAGAGCAGATCTCCAGGACTTGGGACTCCCAAAACTGGCAACGTGGCAGTCTCGCCAACACCACTAGGGGGAGCTCCTGTGCCTCCTCTGAAAGTGAACCCATTGTCGACTCCAAAGACTGTCAAACGCTCTCTGGCCACGTTTAAAGACATTTTCTCTTCAGAGTCCCCGACTGTGGTCCGAAACAGAGAAGCAGGTCAGAATAACAAATGTAAAGTCACGGCACGTCCTGTTGTGGAAGTCAGTGTTACTGACTGTACAGCACTCAACAAGACCGATGAAAATATTCTCAGTATGGATGATGGTGAATCCAACAGCCCCCCAAATCAAGGGCCCCCACAGGACAGCAAGTGTCACTCAGAGAACACGTAAGGAGAAGTCTAAATGTTGTTCCTCTGAACCTTTGCCTCTTGTTGTCTGTATATGTTTTTATTATATTTTCTTTTTATTTTTGGCAGGTTAAAAGCCTTCAGAAGTGGGCCATCGTCCATGATTGAGCTTGAACAGTACGAGGAGTATGAGGACATGAGTATGTTTCTAAACATTAAACACATTTAAATATACTTATATATATTTATATTTGACGATTTAAACTTCTCAACACCATTCCCTTAAAAAAAAAAACAATTTGTGAAGTTTATGAAGGAAACCACATTCCACATGTTTTGTTTGATCAAGTATTGTTAATAGTGAATTAATAATCATCAATATTCTACAAATAGACTTTTATAGACAAGACTGAAAATGCAAAGAATTTAATTGGTGGACCGATTTCAGGCTTCAGCATTAGACCAAAATATCTGCTACAGTGTGACAGCACAAGCTGTATTCATTTAAATGAGAGAAAAAGAGCAACATTATCGACAAGAGCTGTATGTTCTGTAAAGATTTTATGTTTTGGACAAAGAATATGGATGACTAATGTGTGAACATGTAATAATACATCTGTACTGTTCCATTTGTGTTGCACTTACAAAACAAAAGAAAAACGGGGGTGTAACTGAAAAATACTCCAATAATCTAATAATAGTCCATTGTAGGCACAGTAGAGAGTTCAGTCCTGAATAGATGCCACATTGGACCGTTTTACCCTGAAATGTTGCACAGCCACACTGCAATATTTACGCTTTGCCCTTTCACCTTCTGTCGGGAATTAAAAATGCAGCAGCTGGGACTTTGACACCTGGATATGTAGCTCAGGTCACCAGCTTAAACAGCTCCCTCTAGTGGTTTCCCTGTTAACCTTTATCAACTTCAGTGACAAATATTTGATCTTTGTGTGTGCTAAATGTTGTTTTTTATTATTATTAACTTCTACTTTTATCCTCACTTGGGTCCAGGTCTGCCGTCATCCAGAGTCCACGCTGTTCTGTCTACAGCAGATCTGTGTGCTCCTCCTCTCAAACCTCTAATCCTACAGCCGAAGGATAAGGCCAACATGGCAGAGTGGTTTAAGAGTCTCTGGTCTACCACCGTTGACAGTAAGAAAATACATCGTCTGATTCATTTACACTGTTGTATTTTACAGTATATCAGTGTTATTTACATTCCTTATACATTTCGTATGAAGTCTTTCAGAGATTCAGATTTAGATAATTAAACTTAAAGTGAAATCTTAACAAACTAGTAGCCAAAGTATCCAGCTAGGGGGTCTGGGGGCATTTTCCACCTGTAAATATGGCTCTAAAAGCCCAAAGTTTGTTGGTGTCTGCCTATCTGACTCTAAATGAATCTTCCTCACCCATCAGAACTTTTGTTATTGAGAATAATTAGACCTATTATTTATTTATTGACTTCTTTACTGTGAGGCTTATCAAGACATGCCACAATCATGGTTAATACATTTCTTTGCTACAAACATAAATGTTATGTTATTCAACGAAAATAAACAAGTTTTTTTTTTAAAGGGCCAGTGTATAACATTCATGATCTATTGGCAGAAATAAAACAGTATTCATAGGTTTTCATTAGTGTACAATCTCCTCAAAATAAGAATCGTTTACATCTACAGTCGCTACAAGTTGCCTTCCATTGAGGCTGCCATGTTTCTACAGTAACCCAGAATGGACAAACAAAACACTGGCTCACAATAGGGTCTTTTGCGTGTTTCATGGCTGCTGTAGTTTCTTCTTTGCGTTTGGGAGGGTAGGGTGGAGCGAGGGAGTTAGATTCTGCAACTACACTGGTCCTTTAAGGTGAACATGTTTTTAAACCCATTTCTTATCCAGCCTATGAATCCATTTTAAATTCAATTATGTATAAAATAAACCTATGCCAAAAATAATGCTGTAATAAGCGCAGTGTAAATAAAGATAATTCATCAGTGGACTTTTTAACGCTTACTGCACCATCGTCAAGTTGCTGCCAACGATGTTTTCCAAAGTCTAATGGATGAATGGAGAGGATGTCCGCTGTCTGGGCACTCAATTCAGTTGTCATCAATTATTTTGTCAAACACTGAAGATGGCTCTCCGCTCTCTACATTCATACAGAGCAACATGTAATATAGGGGCGAAACGGCAGATACAGACGGAGTACCTCAATTTCTCAATCACACGTGGCATTGGTATTGATATGGAACGTAGTGTTATGAAACTACACGCGATATGAATATGAAAATAAAATTATTTTATTAGAATCATAAAAACTAAATATAGGTAAAGTAATCGGCGAGAATTATGGAAAGCTTGTCAGAAGTAAAAAAGCAATAAACAATGTGGACAAAGTGAATATCATATTCAGCTAAATGGCCAAGTGTACGCATACACTGAGTCATCATCAGTCAACGTGTAATAATACTCTTACACTATCTCAAATATTTTATTATTATAAAGTTTGCTTCTCTTTTTTTATCTGGTGATGTAGAAAAACTATGTTTTTAAATCAAAACTCATCAAAAATTTCTTATGACAAGGATATAAAACGGAGAAAATTAATCAGCCATCCTGCCTCCTGCCATTGATTCATTCGTACTGTTTAATATGGTTACAGATAGTCCCGTGATCACTCCGGACCAGTTTGATTGGTACTTCTATCAAGGCAGAGCTATCGGTTTCCAGGTGGACCTGGAGTGTGGCTCCGTCTGTAATGGAAAAATCCTGCTGGGCTCCTACATGAAGAAGCCTCTGTGGGTGGATCACAGCGCCACAACAGTCAGTACACTTCTTGCTCTCACTTCTCATGTGAATGTGTTGTTTACGCCAGCTCTCCCTCTCTCGTACAGCAGAGTTCTCGAAGTAAAGTATTTTTTTTATTATTTCTGTCTTTCATTGTTGTTGTTTGTTTTTAAAGGTTTTTAACTTATTAACAAGCTCTGTGAGTGTAACCATCGACGTCAGCGAGTCCAGCGTCTATCCAGGACAATCCTTTATGGTGCCATGTGGTAAGAATATATCGTTACATTTATTAAGACACGAATAAAATGTTTAATTGGATATGTGTATAAGGGAATGGGAAGTTTAAAAAACATTTATAAAAGATCACTCAATCAGACCTTTTAGTGGTAATTGTAAAAATCGGTTGTATGTATTTTACTGATGTTGCTGTTCTATTCACACAGGACACGCTTACAGCATCCAGAACAACAGTGCACAGCCTGCGGTTCTGTACTTCACCAGGGTGTTGGCAGAAAGTTCAGACTGAAGTTATCAGCTTGAGTGGTGGCTAAAAAAAACAGCCCTTTTCCCTAAAAAAAGAAAGAAAACTGATGTGAGACATTATTTCTGTATTTAAATTGTGTTTCTGTATTGAAATATGAGTTGTAAATAGAAAATGATTGGGTGAAAATCTTTAGTGAACTTCTTTGATCCTTTGCTTGTAATGATGTAAATAAATCTTTTTTTGCTTTTTGTTACTTGAGTTGTATTTAGCCCATTTCCTATGATTGTGCATGTATTGTTTCCAGCCTCTGAGGGGCAGCGTACAACTTTACTCCTGTTAAACAGAAAGTTATGTCCGAATGCGAACGTCATTATCTGCAGTTAAGTTATATTTTATAAATTGCAAACAAATTTAATTTGAACAAAATATCCGTTTATTATCAGGATTAGAATTGTTTTTTTGTTTTTTTTCGTTTTGTTTTTTTCAACAAAATGACCAAAAAGTATTATAAGTAAAATGTGAAGTACTCATGAATTGTCCTTATGAGTGTTATATTATTATCACTGATGCATTTATATGTAAGGAGCATTTTAATGGTGTTGATGGTTGAGGTAAAGTTTTTACTATATATTCTGTTAAGTAGTTTGATTTGTTGCTATGCATGACATTTTACCAGATGATCATGTTTTATTGTAAAAATGTTCAACTCCAGAGTCACTGCAGGTGTCAGTTAAATGTAGTAAAAAAAAAAAAAAAGTGCAAAAATGTAAATACTTAAGTATCTCAAAACTTTGTTTAAGTAAAGAAGTTCATTTAAGGTACCAAGTGAACTTTTTACTACTGCAAATACTATTTCTGAAGCGTAAAACACATTAAAAACAGAAGTCAGTTATCACTGCCATGCCCTGAAAGTATTATATCAAGGTCTTACACCAAATCTCAAGGTTCGGGAACAATAATGATGTTTGCTTTGTGGACTGACATTGACTGATGTTCCACAGTGAAGGACCCTCATCAGACTAACAACTTTGCCTTGGAGAAGTCATGACTGCTTTTAAACGTGTGTGGCATCTTCAGAGACATAACTGCGAATACCTATCCTGTTCTCTGCTTCCACTGGTAACTTTCCAATGTTCGGCTGGAAATATGTGTAAAAGAATTGTGTGGTACACAGCTATTTGGATATTAATATCACACTGATGAACACAAAAGTTATCTTACATGATTACATAAAAGTAATCTATCATCACTTCCTTTAAAAGAGAACTCCACTGATCTTACACATCAAAGTCTGTTTACAGGTCATGGTGAGTGCTACTTCGTGTGAAAAAAGGTTGAATAAAGCCTTCTGTGGCTCCGGAGAGAGTTGCTTGATATCTGTTGGTTAAGTCTAAAGACTACTAAGTTTCAAAATAAAAAAAATTAAAAAGCAGTGGTGGACTGAAGGGGCTTTTTGGCTGGGAGGGGGGGTTCAGACCTGGGGTTGTGCCAGAACCGGAGCTCAGCAGCCATAGTAGAGACACAAGAGGGCGTGTTAGCAAAGTGGTCAACTCACTAGTTTATGTTTATTAGTAACATAATTGTAACAAATGCATGTGTACAGCCATCCATATTTAGAAATTGGGGGTTGCCAAATTACAGCAAATGCTCTTACATACTGTTGCTTTAATAACGTTTGGGCCACCATAGAGGACACTATCATGTTTTATCTTCCATAGCGTCACCCAAGAAGGCACTTTCTCTCTATCCTTCTGCTTGAGGCTAACAATGGCTGGTTTTGACAAAGAAAAAGAAGAATGTGTGGAATAAAAAAGAAACCTCTGGTTCTGCTGTATCGATTTTGTGAATCTGACGCTGCTGTCACAGCACAGTGCTACATTGATGGGGCATTCTCAACAACACAGTAAAATCTGAAGTCTAACTTTATCGAAATAGTACCGCAGTTAGCGAGCATACATTCACGTCTCAAAAACATAATTGCGATGTCTGAAAAACCCAGATTGTTTAAATATATTTCTCATTTATCTGTAGGTGTTTCCAGAACCTCTTCTAACCATCTGGGTAGGAAAAGAAAAACAAATCCGTCTACAAAATGATAAAAAAAAATGTCTTTGATTTTTGACAGGTTTTACAAATTGTGCCTCTGTTTTCATGCCGTGGCAGGAATATTTTTTCATTCACATGGTTAAAAGAGTCTTTGAGAATTATGAAAATACCGTTGGAGCAGCTGCAAGTGTTTTTAAAGAACCTTGTGAGTTTTACAAAGATTAATTAGGCCTTCCTTTTAAAGAAACCTTACCTCTGTAACCCAGATGTATGCTAATGAGAGGCACATGTGAACACCAGTGAACACTAGTGGTCGAACCCCTGGTGGTATCAGTCAAAACTGACATGAAAAATCCTGATGTTAAGGAGTTTGTCAGGAATATTTTTTTAAGGCGAAGACGTCGGCTCACACACCAGAAACGCTGGCACTTCCACACCGACACAACACACATCCTCTGGCGGGCATTCAGCTGTACCCACTGTTCTGTCATGAAACATTTACTGACCTACTTCATGAATGCTGAATTAGGTTTCTGTATATAAATCTGTTATCTTTCTGTTCCCTCCTATACCACTAAATAGTTTATACTACACTGATAGCAACATGTTTCTTCAACAAGAACCTTGAGATTCTTGCTCTCTAATATTTGAATACGCCTTGACCCTTTACCCAACGATTTAGCCACTTGCTTGAACACAAAAAACAAAGAAAGAGAGAGTCTTCTCCACAGTAGAGCTGCAGAACAGCCTGCCAGTTTGATAATTTATCACTTTTGAATGTCTCGTTTCAGCTGCGCGTAGTGCACCAGCCTCTAGGCAGGATCTTTAAAGAAGTGGATGCAGCTTCCACCACCAGAGTATACACTGGGCGGACCTCCCAGGTCTTTAATTATAAAGCATGTCTATGACCAAATATGCTGCCTGTAACACAACATCTGTGCAGTGAACTGTACATCTTCTGCCCTGTGTTGTGTGTTGTGAAAGAAAGAAAGAAAGAAAGAAGGAGGGGGAGTGAATTGTTTATGACAGATTTCAAATACAGGATACATTTTAAGGTGTTGGAATTTTTCACTCCTTCAGTGTGTTTTAGTGACACTCTAGACATGCCACCTGCTGAGTTAACTGTAGCAGCCCAGGCCTTAAAGGTTACACAGCATCCTGAATCAGTTCATATAGACTGAGTCAGCAGTCAAAACATTACCTGCACACACACTCTGGTTGGCACGTGACAAGAGGAAAAATATAAGCTAACGTTAGTAAGCTTATCCTTTATTGATAATGCAAGATAAACAACTTCATACATTTTTTATTAAACCTTCTTAAATAGTATATAAGATGAGACAAAATGAAGAGACAATGAATAAATAAGTGCATTTATGAGTGACTACAGCCATGAGAGCAGCTTTGTGAGGCTATAATTAGGTCCAGTGTTGTTGAGCTAAATACTAACATCAGCAGGCTAACATGCTCACAATGACAGATTGACACACTGCTGTTTTTTATTACAGGGTATTTGTTGACAAGAAAGAAAAATATAAGTTCATTATCATGTATTGTATAGATCATTTCAATGATTTAACAATATTAATTAAGTTGTAGATGTTTAACTTGATTGTGGTGCTAGAGGAAAAGTAAGAGGATCGTAAAAGTTATTATAATTCGCCCTGAGGCAAGCAATCCATCCAATACTGAAAACCTCAACCTCATGGTGGCGCTGGAGGGGAATCACCAAAGTCATTAAGATACATTTAATGTACAAGATTTTGGGGGATGTGGATATCTCTACCAAACTGCAGAGCAAACCATGACTAAAAAAACTCCCATAATCAACAGAAAGGTGAAAGAAGTACCCTGTGTATTTGCTCCCTTAACTTGAGTTAAAGTTCAAATGCAGAATCACATCATTGGATAATGTTTAAGTGGTGAGACAGCCACTGAATAATGTATCCCTCTGAGAGTCTGCCTCACACAGAGCTTAATCTCAGTCCTGCACTTTCTTACTCACATCGCTGCCCCTTAATGCATCTGATTTAAGTGAATTGGAAACAGTAATGACTTAGTTAACCACCAGAAACACTACTCATACCTCGCTGGTCTTGTTTCTCCTGGGGATCAACAGGAATCATGAAGCTTTACTACAGATGTGACCATATATTTTTGTTTTAATGTTTAAGATATCACTCTTGAAATGAGATTTGTAAGTATATTGCAGTCATATATGCAAATTTTTGATATATTTCAACCACAGATATTTCAGGGCAGTTAAACCTATTATAAGCCTCTTTAACTCAGCAAATATTGCAAATAAATAGACTCATACTCACTGCATTGTAAGCCTGAAGAAGCAGGAAGAAACAATATCACACTAAAAATCTGGCAGCTAGGGAACACATTCAATAATCAGAGTGTATTAATGACCAAATATTTGCCTTTACTGAGCTTTGCATGCCATGAAGGCATTTGTCCAAACAAAGGCTATACAGGTCTTCTGTGATTAGTCTGAGCCTCACTTCTTGGAACAACTTCAAGCATTGAGTATGAGTTCCTTCCTTTGTTAAAGTTAGCTCTGTACATTTGTGTGTGGCTGCACTTGAGCCAACAGGCACAAGAGTGACTTTACAATGAAGGTGTTGGGCAGTTTGTTGTGCGTTGCTCCATGAATCACCCGCTAACAATCTAGAAATTCTTAGAGCTTCAGGCAAATAACAGGAAATTATTTGAATTATATTCATTTTCTTTTTTTTCAGTGAACATTTTTCAGTTAAAAAGACCTTCAATAAACAGCTATGGTCACTGAAAAGACGCACTAAACTGGTTCAAAAGTGAACATTTTTTCATTGATCATTTGGTGACGCTGCCATTAATACCATATTTTTAAATTTTTCATCCTCTACAATGTGCAAATAATAGCCTCTTGTCACTTTGGAGCCTAAATCTATATCCCAATGTCTCAGTTGAAAGCTAGTATATATATAAACTTATCCCACACAGGACTCAACCCATAGCTTACAGGGGTAGAGTCCTACAGTCAGCCAACAACATTTTTTTTTGCCAGTAGTTTCTGAAGGCTCAAGACTATCTTCTCAAAATACTGCAAGTCCCGGTGATGCAACTAAGTCTATTCCCCATCGTTTCCCTCCCATTACAACAGCGCCCTATATGGTTAGAGTTAGGGATAAGGTTGGAGTGAGGTTAAAGTAGGGAGCA